TAGGTACTCAGGCATGAAACTGTGCCGCTCAAACACTATACTTTTCCGCTCACCCTGAAAAAAAATTAGAGGGAACATTGGCTCCAAACATGCGGCGGGACCAGGGCCACAGCCATTCTTACCATGACGGTGAGGCTGCTCGCCCTCTCGCTGACGTTGGCACTGGTTAAAGCCAAAGGACCGTCACAGATCCTGGCCAACTCCCTGACGAAGTGGTGATTGGGGATCCGGACGCCCACCAGCTGCAGGAAGGGAAGAGAAAGGAGCGCTGTTAAAGGGAGGCGGCGCTCTGGGAGGCGCCCGGTCGATCGTGGGGGTGGGGGCAACCGCCCAGCCCCAGGAGCGCAGGCCGCCCGCCGCTCACTGGTGTGAAGGGGTTCAAATCCGCGTTGAGGGCGTCCGAGCGCGGCAGCACCAACGTCACGGGACCGGGCAGGAGATCACGCAGCACCTCTTCGGGCACCGGGACGCGGCAGTACCTGTGGGCGAAGAGGGCTCAGCGGCTGGGACGCTCGCCGCTCCCCGCCGCTCCCCGCCGCTCCCGGCCCGCGCACCTGTGCACCTGCTCGACGTCGCCCAGGCAGATGGCCAACGGCTTATCAGCGGGGCGCCCCTTCAGCCGGTACAGGGCCTCGACGGCCGCGGAGTTTTGTGCCAAGCAGGCCACGCCGTAAACCGTGTCGGTGGGCACCGCCACTAGCCCGCCCTCGCGTAGAGCCGCCGCAGCCCACGCCGCCTGGCCCTCACCCCCGGCCAGGCAGACGCGCCGTTCGGAACCCGCGCAGACAGGCAGCGGCCGCCCGCACGTCCCGGGGCCCGCCAGCATGGCCCACAACCCACACCGCCCCAAACCCCCCGGCATCCGCGGCTTTTCCGACGCCGATTACTCACTTCCGGCGCGGAATGCTGCCACCGAGAGGCACGGCCCGAGCGGCGCCTCGGTATCCTCCCCCATCCCGGAAGCGGCGCTGCCCTAGCCGGAGAAAGGCGCCGTCGAGTTCCAATTTTCAGGCTGGTTCTCGACTTACTTCCTATTTTTCAGCGGAGACAGCAGGGAGTTCAACTGCTTTGCTTTTTTGGTAATGCTTGCCGTCTTTGATGCCTCTTAAGAAAGTTACAATACATCAGTTTTACTCCGTCCTTGCAACTCTAAGGATAATCACAACGCTGGATAATTGAAGAATGCCAAAGAATGCCCGAAAGACAGTCGCGTTGCCTTTCGTCGGTTATACAACCTCTCATTGTGTCGAATCTGTCAAGCTATGGAAAGTGCTCAAAAGAATGGAAATCCCAGGCCTTTGTTTCTGATGAGAAACTTATATGCAGGTCAGGAAGCCGCAGTACAGACCGAACACGTCGAAACAGACTGGCTCCATGGGCCACTTAACAGTTCTTACTTATGATCAACCCCCCCCCCGCCCCCGCCAAAAAAAAATTATATGGAAACCCATTTTAAAGTTAGGACAGCTGCAGTGCCATTTGCTTTTATGACAGACCATGAGAATGCTGCAGTGGCTGCTGTCTATTTTCCCCCCAACCTGCCCCATGGACCTGTAGCACTCTGGCTTCCTCCCTGTGCCTCCTGGAAACAGCCACCATTTTCAGGGCCCTGACAATTCTTTGCTAAAGTGGTGGCTGCTTTCAGAACTTTCAGATCAGCTTGCTTGTGGGAAATCTCTCCCGATTTTTGCCTGGCTTTGCAAAGCTAACCTTTGCCTAAAAGGCAGCTTTAGGATGAGCTGCTCCCCTTTGCAATTGTTAAGTCTAGCACAGTGCCTCGGTGTGGAGTCCCTGGGAGGCCTGGCACAATTCCTGACCCATAGTGCAGGCCTCCCCAACTCACAGCTTGCCACTCAGCAGTGTCTCTTACACTTGAGCCTCCACCCTCCCCCATCATGCTTTGCTCCACTTATCTTTTCTGAAGATCTTTCCAAAAGCCTGCCCAACTCAGGCCACCTCACACCATTCTGGAGTTGGGCTCCAATTACATATTCTGTCAGAAGGCACCAGCTTCCAGAATGGTGCCAGGCTGGCCTCTGCAGGAAGACCACACATTGCATTAGCTGGTGCTGTGTTGAAAAAGTGACCTTGGAAAATTGCCTTTCCAAAGAGAATCAGCTGATGAATTGCAAGACTGGGCCATCTCAGAAATGGGGGATATTTGGGGAGTCTCCACAATGCTTGGTCTGAGAGGATTACAGCTGCTTTCAGAATGGCACTTCCTTCAGGATTGCACCAGAGAGTTTCTGTATTAGGAAGGCCACATATTACACTGCCTCTTTCCTTTGGGGAAAGCAATTTTCAGAAGAGATAAGTACAGTAATGTGTAGCAGAGTGAGGGAGGCCCAAGGCCAGATGGGAAATAGACCCAAGAAACCCAATAGGGCAGGAGAGAGAAGATAGGTGGGTGTGAAGCAGTTGTAGCTTCCCTGCAATTGGTTTTATCAAGCATACAAATTGTAATCATGTGACTGTGGGAGTACTAGAGCAGCCATAAACTTGGGTACAGGTTATAAATCCTTCTGTTCAGCACCATCATAATTGCAATGGTAATTAAAAATAACTTGCAAGTCAAAGATTACCTATTGACTCCCTATGTTCATCTGTAGGTCAAAGTACAGTGTTCTATTTTTTTATTATAAAATACTTTTTTATTTTCCATTTTCATACCATATAATCACATGTATACTATTACATAGCCAATATCATATTGTATTAATTAATAATTACATCAGTTCATCTTGTTATCAACTCCCGGGGGAAATAAAAAACTAAAAAAGATAAAAACCAATTATTAGCTCTTCTGCTCTCCATACACCACTTTCTTCTGCATCTCTCCTCCCCCTCCTTATCTCCTTTCTTCCCTCCATCATCCTTTTCTACTCTACTTCCCCTTCCTTTCTCCTTCTCCTCTCTCTTTTCACTCCTCCTTATTCTCTTCATCTTCCCCCCCTTACCCTCTCTC